AGAGAGAAGCAGCTCGTCATGCAAGGAACGACAGGAAATACTTTGTGTGTGTGTGTGTGTGTGTGTGTGTGTGTGTGTGTGTGCGGGCAGCCTTGCTCACTGATGGGAACAAATATTAACCTTTCCACACCTGGTTACCGTGACACCTTTGCACACGTTCCTCTTCCCTCCCTCCCTCCCTTCTTTCCTTCCTTCCTTCCTTCCTTCCTTCCTTCCTTCCTTCTCAACCCCCAAGATTTTTAATGCACCTTACAAAATTATACGAAAATCAAAGGTAGTTTGGACATATAGGTGTGTGTGTGTGTGTGTGTGTGTGTGTGTGTGTGTGTGTGTGTGTGTGTGGAAGGTACGTGTTTTTACAGTTTTATTATGATTTGTAAACAGGAGATCACAATAGCCACTGTACCACTGAACACTCCAATACTTAGGGATATGGAAGTTGCTTTTAATGTAAACTTGTGACCTTAACCTTTGACCTGCCTCTCTACGGTCAGATTTTAACCTAAAACAACTGAATAAGACCCCCTAAGGCTAAGATTTTGTAGAGGCAGCTGTCCTGTAGTGGAAACATTAGGACGATACATCGATCATTGTACCGTAGCTGAAGTGATTTGGCAGGTGGCAGGGGGCGGTTAGGGTAGCGTTATAGTGTTTAATATTCAGCTCTAATAAATTTGAGGTCAAAGTTTCATGTAATTAAAGAGAAACGATATATTGTGTTCTGTCACCTTGTTGGTTACACTGCCACTCTCTTATAAAATGTTTCTTGACTTTGAAACACTGATTTGGTAACACTGGCAGATGAAACACTTAAGTAAACCAAACAGCAACATTTCCTTTATCCTAGAATCTCAAGAGCCTTAAATGGAGTCTAGAAGGAGTCATGAACCAGAAGACTCACTATCACATCACCTGTTAGGGGAACCAGGATGTTAAAGACTCATAAAGACCCATACATTAATGTTTCTTTGAGTTTCATCCACACAGTTTATCAAGGCGACGGAATTTTGCAAAGACTAATTTAAATAGAAGCATTATCTCAGCGTTAGGTCAGGGAGGAGGGAGGAGGGGGACAAATTACCATATGAATGAGAGAGAGAGAGAGAGAGAGAGAGAGAGAGAGAGAGACTTCCTCAGCCTTGTCGGAGTTCTGTCAACTTCTCCCTTCTCCTCACTTAACTGACCTTCGGCTACTTCCTATCTTACCTGTCT